TGTTGGCGCACTGAAGCTGGCTGGCAACGAAAGCGATGTTCTCAGTGCATGACCACAGCTCAAATTGCGAAGGTGATATCCCCACTTTGGCGGTGGACGGAGTAGCCACGTACAAGCCTGGTCAGAAATGATCTCCGACATGTCTAAATGTTGTAATATTTATCACATTTTACTTCTACATAGGTAGTATCAGTCTACCGACTGCATTGTAAGTGCCTAAGAGTTGCATATATTTAAACGAAGGATGTATATCTTCTTGTATTGTATAATCGCCAGTGTATTTCACGGCATTTACGTCGTGTGTTGCGAGGGACGAGGAAGTGAGAGAACAAAACTGGACCAAAAGCTGGCCGACACAAAGCTATGGAGCAGTGGCGGCGTACAGTATCGGAAAGCTGGTAGTTCCCTTTTATCAATCAAAAGCGATACACCTCTAGAACCAATGTAAACTTTTAGGTTTTTAAAGAGTAGCTGCTTATTGTAAGCACGCACAAACTAGCGCCGCTGTGGAGGCAAACCCGGCAACTATCTGGTTGTTCGGAAAATAAGTTCATTTTATTCGATGAAAAGGAAAAACTAGTTTCTTTTAATGGATGAATATTTTATTATAATCAATATTCTCCATTCTGATCCAATACCTTTGCCATCTTTCTGACAGTAGTATTATTCCACCTATATAACATTGCTTTTCTTCTCTGGCGAAAACTGATGATGGTGATTATTGACCTCCTCATTTGTGGTAAAGGTTTTACCGTGTAGACTAGTTTGTAGAGACGGGAACAAATAATAATCTGCAGGTGTCATATCTGGAGCATATGGTGGATGTGGTAGTACATCCCATCCAAACTGTAAAAGCTTGTGGCGAGTTAGCAAACTTATGTGAGATATCGCATTATCTTGATGGAACACGACACCTTTTCCATTGATCAATTCTAGTCTTTACTGTTTAAGTGAACCATTCAACTTGTCCATCTGAAGACAGTACACTTCAGCATTGATTGTTGCATTGTCCGGTAAATGCTCAAAATAAGCAATTCCTTTGAGATCCCACCGAACAGATAGAATCCCCTATTTTTGCTGAATATCAGCTTTCGAAATGCTTTGAGCCGGTTCATCTTTTTTACTCCATGATCTCTTGTGTTTAACATTATTGCAGACAACCCAGTTCTCATCCCCAGTGAGGTTACGCTTCAAAAACGGGTCATTTTCTTGACGTTTGAGAAGTAGATCACAGACGTGAACGCGACGACAGCAATTTCTTTCAGTAAGAACATGAGGAACCCATATGTCAAGCAGTGGAATTAAAACCAGGCGTTGCAAATGATCATAAACAGCCGAACTCGATAAATGTAATCCCTCAGCGAGCTCGCGAGTTGTTATTCGCCGGTTTGCATCGTCATGCAAAATAAGTACTTAATTAATGCGTTTAATTTGTTAATTGATGAACTTAATTAATTAATGCCGGATCGAAATTTTTCAAACCAGTTTCGGCCCTGGTGTTTCGTCCGTACATCTTTTCCATACACATCCGATAATGTTTTCTTGCATGAACAGTATTTTTTAGCAATAAAACAGTAAAATATGCTGAAAATGATGCTTTTCACCCTCTATGTTTGAAAGGGTGCCAAACAACAATTACTGCGTGAAATCAAGCGAACTTTCTCACAAGCAATCCTTGCTATATCAGCTGTCAAAATATTAGAAGGTGTGGCCTAACTTTGAAGTTGGCGGTGAAAAAAATACAATCAAATCTTATGTTGGGTAGAGGGAATTTTACTTTCCGAACAACCAGATTGCATGTAAGAAATATTGGGACGAGCATCTATTTCGCAACGGAGTCAATCATTTCTCTTCCGTATGGTTGAGCTGTACACTACAGTGTTGCGGAAGAGGCAGTAGATGCGTCACTGCACGCGGAAATTTGCAAAATATACGAACAGTAGGCTTAGTCGAACGAACTTGCAGTTGTCAAATTATGCAGGCTCGCATCACCTAACGCTGAGGTGAGTGCTTTCAATTGAGGTGCGTGATTCACACGCATCCGGAACTAAGAGATCTGATGTCCCAATGCGCTGGGGCTTGCAAAGCGATCATATCGCAGAGTTCATCGCCTCAATGGAATTCGCTCATGAACGCATTTTACTTGTGCAATGCTTTTGTTGTTTATTACGGGCTAGGCAACTCTGCTCTGCTTCGGCATGGAGTGGATCAAGTGACCAACGCTCGCGTTTCGATTTTGTGAGTAACAAGTTCGCAGGAACTATGTAAGCGGATCAATCAATAAACCTCCTGATCACTCAAGTCGCGCTTTTAATGATAGCCTTCAAGCCGCCGAGTTTGTGCCAGTCTCCGCACGCATGCCGCGAGAAAAACTTGCAGGGTCTCAGCCAGTAGTTGTCAAGGCGTCTCATGTATCTGTTACCAAGTCACGGTTTCAAACCACAGCGGCAATTATCCCAGAAACATCAACACCCAAAAGCGAAAACATTGCTTCTTCGAATTGCGCTGAACTCAGGCCCTGGTTGCTGTGCGTAAAACGATTCTCTGCCGTGGTCAATCTTGTGAACCACTTAGGTTTACTAACTGAGGCTTGGACGCCAGTGCGACAGTTTAGACCGTTGGTTACGCCTAACAGCCCTCTCCACGCCACTCAAGTGACGCAATGGGTGGAAAAGAAGGAATGCTGCATGTGTCAAGTGGGGGTGGAGATGTGCGTTCAACTCAACAAGCTTTCCACATGTGTGAAAGGCGTCAATTGACAACGAGTGAGAAAACTGAATCCCGATAATTCACTGCTACCTAAGTGTCCACCTCATTTCTATACCTCTTCCACATGAGTTTGGCTTTTACGGCCAAACTCCAAGGGAATTGACACATCCTACGTTCATTCCATACAGCTTCTGTACAACCTGCTTCGCGCAGGAGCACATCGGACCCCACATGTGCTAAGTTCATTTGTTTTGCGAAGAACTCTAATACGTGCAGCGAGTCTCAAAATCTTCGTTCAACTTAGGCCAATGGCGCCCTGTTTGAGAGCGACTGCTGTAATGTAAGGTGGTACCTACCTTGCGTCCCCAACCAGAGTAAAATAGAGCGGTGACAAACCAAATGTAGGGTACTTGGCCTCAAGCATATAGTTTGAACGGATAAGCTTAATGTCCACAATCCGATGAACTGTAGATGATGATTTGCAAGGCCGTATTCTACCATGCAATTCAAACCATTATATCCATGTTGAGACCTGCACAATCATTCGAGTGCAACACATCTGCATGCTGCTGCGATATCTGAGAACTTAGCTGGCTGCATTAGAATGACACACCTCGTATAATACGGCCAATACAATATGTTGAAAATCACAGCGAACTATGAAGAAAAGGCGTACACACAATGTATAGAATCACTAACTCCAACCGATTTTTACATACTTTTATCCCCTGCTGGATGGCTGCGTGCTAATTAGAGAGTGGGGGACGACCTTTCATTGGTTATACAGACCTGTCTAACAACAAACCTTTCATAAAGTGCCAACACGGAAATGCAAGTGGCCCCAATGATCTCTCCATATGAACAGCAAGCAATCGAGAGGGTTACTGTAGCGAAAAAATATATTTCGAGCCCGGAACATCGAGAAAGCCAATTGGATACTTCCTGTCGCATTTTGACAGACACGACTGTTTGTTATTTTGCGTTTTCTGACCAATCTGTCCAGGAGTTCAAGAGCACAGCCAAAATGCTGTCTACACTTTTACGATGGCGGTGTAATTCGAAATTTGAATAGGTCAAGTTTTTCCACGGTTTTCAATCGCGTACTCTTCTGAAACTTAAACATCAAAACAAGTGAATGTGTTTAGGTGGTAAGCGAGCATTCCCTTAGAAACCTTACCACATTCGACAAATCGACCTGAGTCGCCCTGCTGCACAGCGTCGAACTTTTCAACAGGGGAATGAAAATCAAACATGATGAATGACTTGGTAAAACGTAACATGAGCTAATATGCTTTTGGGTCGTACAGAATTCACACCAACTATTCACCGTATATGAGATAATCGTGGTTGCTCCAACATCATACGTGTTTTAAGGACGTTGCCACTCCCAAGCCTACCCTCAGGTAGATGCTAACAGCAATAGCTGGGTTGACCCGATGGTTACTCATTTGCGCGACGTAATCGCAAACATCTCCATGGGGCCTGCACTATGGATCCCGGTCAATCGATCAGCAAAGTTACGAACATACATTAGAAGGTTTTTAAATGAAGAGACTGAAGCTTTCCTCATCTTGTAAAAGGGTACTGCTCTCGCGCTCAAACTAGACAACTGTTACTCAGTGAACGATCAGCCCCGATAGCCTTAATGATAGCCAGCTATATGTCTTCTATTTGCTTTGACATTTGCTTTGACAGACACACCTAATCAATTTAACAAGGTAAGCGCTCCGTGAAGTGATTGCTTTGTCGGTTGAATTAACTACTTCACGCTTCCGTATTTGTGCTAACATGTCTCTGAGTATCTGCCACAAAGTGGGCGAGGCCAACAACAAGTTGGGCGGAAAAGATGGAGAACCATGCATGACTCGCTTACCCCAACCAGCACCCGTTGCAAGTTCAGTGGCATACCTGTGGAAAGTCCCGGTGATCACCTTCCACTTGGATGGATGGTATGAGGTGCCGGCCAACGTAATGTATCACTGCGGCGACTGTATGGCAGATGTACAACAGCGAACGTCCTTTTGAACACCGGACCCGTACTGGATGTAGATCTAGCCAGAGAGCTTGCTGTCCCCGCCGCTATTTACTCAACATGATATGATTTATCTGTCGTCTCAAAAATGAATCGCGTGCGCGCATACACACAAGCTTCTCGAGGCTCTAAGTGCACTTAGAAACATAGCATCTTTCGGAGCCGGAAAAGACTACGTTGAACAAGAGTGTATGCAAAAATTCAGACCCATGAACATTGGTATTTACGAATGGCAAACATCCATGTTGCGACTTCTGTTTCACGTGCCGTCGGACACAGACGAACCAATTATCCACCGGCATGGTTCCACCATATCGCGGTCCGTCATTGTGTTGGATTGGAGCGAATGGGACGTCTGAGTCATCGGCTCAATCATTGATGCTGAGTAGGGAACATCAATATTTCGGGATGTTTGAGGTGATTTACGCGGTACCGTCGACCAGTGGACGTCTAACGATTCGGTAGGCGAAAGAGAAGGCGGCGACGACAAGCTTGGAAAAGCTGGTGGGGAGATGGCGAGCGGTGGCTGAGGAACTGGAGGTATCGACTGCGCAGTATAAACAGGTACCGTGATTTTCAGTGGGTCCGTCACAGGCGGCGATGTCATCCTATATTCCCTATGATTGAGCCGAACAGAGGAGGCAGTTGCGTTGTCTTGAGGCTTCAGTTTGGCCTTTTCGTACTCAGCTTGTAGAGCCGCCTGGTTCAGCACACAGGCGTAACAACAGCAGTAGGTACACCAGTCGTAGCACTCATTTCCTCGAATGTGGTAGCGTTTTCGAACGGACCGGCGCAACATACAGCCCACTACCCAGTGACAGGGTATTTGCAGTGTGATCAACGAACAGAATGACGCGAGGCAGCAAAGAGTGAAGGATCTGCCCACTTCCTGTCCCACGCTGCCGGACATTATGAACGGACAGAGACACGACAACGCGAATGTTGTATAGTCTGGTATATCAAGCAACTGACTGTGCCAATCCTTATCTGTGTCTTCCTGAGTTTCCACCGCTTCAGGTTGGACAGTAATCACAACGGGGTTCCCATAACCACCCACGACTGACTGCATGCAATCCTACTTGGGGGAAAGGGGGAAGGGGAGGGGAAGGGGGTAAGGAAGAAGAAGAGATTTTGTGCTGAAAATGAAAACAGGAAGCATACATAGAGTACAGTATGTCAAGTGTTCTATTGCGGCTTTGTAGCTATGTTTATGTCTGAGAGCTATGAGATGCCTTATTTATAGTGCGTCTCGGCTAATCGAGGCTATGTCTATCATCTAGCTGACTGGTCACAATGCCTTCCTTCACTTGCTCGGACTCAGGATCGTTCAACATCGAACTGGTGTGTAGTAGAGTTTACTAAGGACAAAGATAGACAGAGGAACTAACCTTCACAGATTAGGAAAAGAATATCAATCTACTCAGTCATCCTAAATAACTTACAACTTTAACTTCAGTGCGATAACTTTTTAAATAAATGTACATGTTCTGCAAGCTTGTTTCGTAGTGGACAACCTGTGGATTATAGACGGGTAAATATCGTTAGCGAACGACGTTTCGAATACCGCTAAGGTACCATGAAATGTGTAGTTTCGGAACTGGAACGATGCGGATAATTCTTGAGTGAAAGGTTCGTCAAGCTTTACTTTTAACTGGTACGATGTATACAAAGGACGAGAGATTAACTGTTTCGGCTGCTTATTTGTATGAACCTGATTTGTGGAATAAAAGCACACCAATGCAACCGTTTACATAAAGAAAATCTAGTAGTGCTTAAGTGCAGTCTTAGACGATCATCCGACACTTCTTACCGGAAGATTTTGATTCTCCTGTACAGACCAACGACTCGCTTTTCCGGAACTAAGCCGAAGTCTGGACAGCCAAAGCCGCCTGGATGATTACGTGAGTAGTGATCAGCTACTCTTGAAATATCTAAAACAGCTCAGTAACTATTGATTTTAATATGGATTTCTGAAACCCGTGTTAAGCATGTATAACGCCATCATGAGAGCCTAGGCAGAGACTAGGCCACTGACCAACCACCACCAAATGCCGACATATATGTGCACCTGTTGTCATTCTGTAACTAATTGGTGACTATGCCAGTCGTTCAAGCTGATCCATAGAAAAGATCCCTTACGTAATTTCATTTGTCATTAGGCCGTTTGCTACCTCATTTGGATGACCCGCGGTGGGATACACTCTGAGTAGCAAAACTGTCTCGCTGGTCTGCAAAGTAATAGATGAGAAGATTACATATTGCCGCAAGCTACAAACGTTTGGCTGAACTTGTTCTGTTTGATACTTGATCACGGGGCTGTCCCTGTATAAGGTACCACTAACTACTTGCGTAAAGGTATGGACTTCCCAAGGTAAGGGAAACAAAGCTTGGGGATAACAACTAAAAATCTCATAGGACTTTACCAGGGTATTTTCTGAACAGAACATGTTTAAGGTTAATATAACTCTTAGCATTTGCACCACTGAACAGGAAACCAGGACAGTTCGCCTGTAGTAGGACCGACTGATTGAAGCTACATCACTTTCTTCCAAGCCTGAAGTCTGGAGCGCTTTTCTATAGTCATAAAACTAAACTTATAGCGGCATCACTGTACAGAAGATTGACAAACTGCATGGTTGGTAGCTCCATGTCTAGACCATTGGTCTCTTCTTTTCGAGCATAATTGTGTTTAGTGACCAGTCTCAAGCCTATCTAGTGCCGTAGCGACGCGAACGATACCCATCCAAGTATGTGTTGGTTTATCTGGCTCAACGAATAATGACAGAGTTTGGGCCAAACGATGCGTCAGAAATACGACGACAGGTGGGGTTCTCGATGCTCGCGACACTTGTTGGATTTGGTCTATCAAGTGGCAAGCGGCTGTGAGTACATTGGAACACCCCCATTTGTCGTTGGTGTGGCTTGCTTAATTGACCGGAAGAATGCTGTTTAAGAACGAGACATAGGGCAGGACGGGAGACCGAACGTAATCAAATGACCGGCGTGGTGGGAAGACACATTTGATTACGATGAAGCACGTTGCGCCGCTATATTCAATTATCAAAGTAGTTAAACACTTCACTAGAGCTAACCTCCTGGATTGCAGCAAAGGGGTTGATCGATCGCGGTAGAGGGTCTGGCATTGGACATAACTACAAAAGTTTAGTCATAGGCATGGAAAACTTGCTACTCTAAATTTGTCCGATATATTTCATTATCTTGAATGATAGAAAAGAGATAAATGCGAGTACAAACCAAGGCTTTGCAAATCAATAAGGTGACTGGCTTGATGGGAGTAAAATCACAAATATGCGCGTCGATAAACCAACGCATGTCCGTGGCCTCACTTGAACACAGGTCTCAGTGCGCATGTCCACAATCCAACCGAGAACACCTTTATGTTAAGCTACGTCATTTCGCAGTGTACACTTGCTATACTCCTTAACGTAATCGATGCAGGGTGTCATCAAGTCATAGATGAGATAGTGATCGTATGGGGGCGGAAATACAGCATTTTGCGTAGGCATACCATAGATAACTCACCCAATAAGAGGAGAATGTTGTGTGTCCAGCTTTAGCTTGTGTCCCCTCAGGTTAGTATTACGGCTGTTTCACGAGATAGCGGTAAACGTGGCTATGGTTTTTTTACTATTTAGCATGCTATTATGAGGTTGACCCACAAATGGTGATACTATTCTTTTTACACTCTACAGCTTTTAGCCTGGTCTACTAGGTGTCATAATCAATCCGTCAACATTTCTGCTCATCGTCCCTTGTGGAGTACCAAGTACAGCAAGCTCGCGCCCGTGCCAAGGTTACTATAGACTGGAACGATTTATTCCACACGTGAGCTCAATTAAGCGTTGAGCATTAGCAGAAAGACGGAAGGGTCGACTAACCCAAATGTCTTTCTCTAGAAACCAACTTGTTGGTTAGATTTTCTTTAGGCCTTCGCGAACATCCCTGAGTGTCTATTTGTGCAGTTTGCGATCACTTGCTTTGAAAACAAGCCGCAAAATATTCTCCAGATGATGTTTCAACGGTGCTCTGTTCAGTGGCTAAGATTGGCAATGTTGGCTTCCGTATTCGCTTCGTGTCATAGCAGCAAACAGCCACAGGACGCCTATGCCTACAAACATGTTAGTGGTATGCACCACGACACAGCTGGAACCCCCACACTGAGAAGCTTACCAGAGTGAACATGAATGGCTACAAGCCAGCTCACAATGTCTAGTCAAGTACACCTAAACTTTGTGGGGGCAACTCAGTGTAGAGCTTGGAGAACGGACGCAGTGTTCACTAAGACGGCACAAGTATGTTGCGAGTAACTGCCTCTTGCTGGATTAATGTCGGGTATTTGCTCTCTTAAGATATGACCGAAACGTACAAACCAGACTTGCACAAAAAGGTAACTAAGCTTTAACATTTCTCCTAATACGCAACCGTCGAATGCAACAGCTGTTTCTGGAGTCCACCATCACCCGAAATGATCAGTTGGTTCCTGAATCCGGATATCCAGGTAGATCCATCAGCTGAGTAGGAATCTTACTGACTTCACGTTATCCTCAACCGAATCTGTAGTACCAAGTGAGATTGAACCTCTGATCAGCCAAAAGTCCTAATGTGTTATACAGATTAGGGGGAAATGATGAGAGAGCACGCTGATGGACTGGGAGTTTTAACTTAGATCTGACTCGCAATCTGTCTCCATCTACGCAAAATATCCAACCTAATCCGCCAAGCTAGGAGCACTGATCGACATAGTGGTGATACCTGTTGGGACAGTGTTTATAACATGACGACATCCAGCTAATGCTTTCTAAAGTAGTTGCTGTGCTCCCCAATAGAGCGCATGGAGTAATCCAATCTGGGAACCGTGTTGCCTGTTTGCTCACTGCGTTTGGGACCTACTTCTTTCACATAGCACGTATCTTCTACTGTAGTTTTCAAAACATCCCCGTTAACTCCCCCTGCGCCCCTCTCCAAGTTACGGTGACACATGAACTCAAAACAAAATGATATGCAAATGGCACGTCGCAACTCATTAGAATGGCAAGAAGATTTTAATTGAAACCGAATATGTTCAGGGAAAGTTAGTATCAGCAAACACCCACAGGATGTCTATGCTTACAGGGAATAAACGTGATCTGCACCACAGCACAGCAAGAGCCCTCACAGCGAGAGGCATGTCAAGAGGAAGACGGATAGCTAAAAGTCACTTCACCATGCCCAATCAATAGCACATCACCTTTGCGATGGCAATTCATTGCATAACCTGGAGACTGGATGCAGTGTATACAATGTCACATGCAAACCAGATTTAAGCAGGTGTCTGGTGCCTTCGGCACTTTTGCCGTAGTGACGAGCGTTAACTACTTAAAAGTAGTTAATTGCGCCAGGATCGGACCTCTGTTCATACATACGCTGATATCATCCTGTTGCGAGTAAAGCACATACCATACGAAACTCTATCATCCCGCCGCATGACCCCATGTAAAGTAACTTAGCTTAGGTGACCATAAGACCACTCCGTACAGAAGTCGTAGCAAAATTTTACCCCGTTGATTGCAACGATTAAATTTCTCTGCAAGGTAAGATCCAAGTTTGGGGTTCGCCGTATTTCATCTTGCTTCTTTATAACCTACTGTTATTCATGCTGAATAGTTATGTCAAAACACGTATAGCAAGCTCAAATATCTCTTTCGTGTGGACGGTTTGTGTCGAAAGCGTAATAAGAATTAAAGATTCCTCAACTCAGGAAAAATTGGGAACTTCGATGATGGAGACTAGAAAGTTGGGACAACACTGCATCGTTACAACCAACTCTAATGGAGCATAGGGCAACTGTTTGGTTAGGGGATGTTCTAACGATTTTGCTTCAGATTTTTTCATGCACTTATGCGTAGGGTTATTTTTAGCAAAATTAATTATCATTTCGTCACAGCAATGTGGCTTGTATCTTCAAGAGAGGCATTATAAACTGTAGGCATTGTTTGTTACACTGGCTAAGCGCACTCATGTCTTCAATTACCTTATACTTTTCCTTGTCTGAAGGCCGTGTGTAATCCAAAGTGATAACGTAAGGAAAATTTTGGTGCTGCTTGCTCCCAACAACTTTTCAAAATGATTGTGTCGCTCTTGGGAATGCCGGGAAAGGTCAAGGTCGGTAACTGACTAAGTTGAACTGACTAAGCTCCCAAAGCAATGCTTGTCACAGAGGTTAGAATTCAAGGTGCTGCTTTGTAATAGCTAATATATGTTTTATCTGCAACACGTACTTCACTTTTGGACCATGCTTCGGTTTGATGTTAATGTCTTCAGTTACGACGAGTGAGACTGTATCCGAAGCAGAGACGTTCCCGGTGACTCGCACTTCCAGTGATAGCAATTATCAAAATTTACTTCTTAATAGAGCTTGCTTCAAATTAAGACTCGCGTCACAATCCGCGCCCAAAATGGGTACTGCGAAAACTGAATGCTAATTACTAAACACTGACAATCACAGATGGAGCTTGGCAGTGCACCAGTAAAAGCGACTATCTACGATCCCTACTTTAGGAGATCATCTCTGCTTACGGAATGCAAACAAGTCCGAATCCGGTAGGTATTGCAGTGTCGAAGACAAGTAATACTGTGTCTACCATCCTAGCACTTGGAATCACTCAGAGTTAACTCGAACTTCTGGTTCACGATGGGATCAGTTATAATCAGGAACACAGTGAGTGCCTTCCTATTTGCTGTGACAAAAGTGATCAGCGTATCATGTTGGCCTAGTGTTATACGATTCTACCAGCGACATCCCGCATTCCATTCTAAGCTACCAGTAACTCTGGCTAATGCATCAGGACAATAGCTGGACCGACTGTGGAGTGCAGTGCTATGGTATAGTTGTGGTGAAAGTGATGGGTTATGGTGGCCCATCGCTACCACCCAAGCTCAGTGGGTTACGTTGTTGACTTGTTAGGAGAAAGGCATTGGACCGTATCTTGCGGTGGGACAAAGTGCTATTGTGTTGGCCATACGACTGCTTCCACCCACTAACGGTAGTCAGAACTTGAACGGCAATCCGTGTACAAAAAGTGTTACTCGCTGCAAGCCGAACTGGCATCCAAGCGTCTGTAAGTACGAATCAGCCGAATAATTTAAATCAGGGCATATACACAGGCTATGTAGTAAGCTTGACATTCAGTCAATCAAGCCTGATCGGCTCAGGAGCGAAGGATCGATAAGATGCCACACGAACAAGTGAAGTACCCAAAGCTAATAAGCATAAGATTCAGTGTCAAGCCAAGCTAATCACAAATGTAAGGCAAACAGAAGCACGTTATGGGTACCATAAAGAGAGCGGGATGAATAGGGGTGAGTGGGGCAAACTCACAAGACAATGGGGAGTGGTGGAGTTTTCTTCCCGGCGCTATAACAACGGTTGTCCAGCAATCGCCTAGACACATCTGTGAGGCAGCTTCTCAAAGGAACAATCTGACCGCGGTTCGGGTGCATTTTTCGACTGTTGACGTCAGTAATGACGTCAGAAGTATTCATGGTCATCGAGGTAGCACAACGCTGGGCACTAACAGCTGAAGCCTTGGTGGGCGATACGCATCGTAGTTTTAGATTGCTGCCTAACACAATATTGTGATTTATCCTCCAACATGTCTCTACCCCTTACACATGATCATCTTTCACTCAATACTAGCATCCTATGTCATAACGCAGTTGGTAGATAAATCAGTTATGTTCCATTAAGGATCGTTACAATTGATCCAAGCGCCAACTCTAGTGACCCATCAGGTCTGAAAGTGCTTCCACGCACTGAAGATCTGTCATTGTCAATGTCTTAAAGTGTGACGGGGCTCCGATGTTCAAGTAGGCAGATCGCAGCTTATATTGAGCGCTCGACTGTCACCGCGTAGTTCGAAACGAGCCTCGCACATATCCAGGGCTACCAGCCTGTGTACTTCTCACGATTCGTCCACTTGTGCATCAGATATGTGCCGATGCGTAAGTGATGATGTACCAAAGGCAGCGGTCCCTGTTTATTTTCATGTGAGGCGGTGGTTCATACAAGTAGGCCCGGGCTGTCCTAGGAGTGGAGAGCTTGGGTGTGAAACAGTGTGGCACCGAAAATCGTTCTCTTCCATACTTGTGTGCAAACTCTTCGCGTAATAATACGAATACACTGTGGACTTAACATTTCGCGTTACTGTTTCTACAAAGGCAAACAGTACACAATAATGGTTTTTCCGAATGAGAAAGTGTGCACTATACTCCGTCCCATCATTCAAGAAAGGGCGGGTTATCTTCGAAAAGATGCCATTGTACGAGTACTCACCTAGAGGAACTGGACTAACGTGTTGGGTTAGATCCCACCAACAGAGATACCTCACGGCACACCGAAGACGGCGTGAGATATCCGAGTTTAATAGTAGAACCCAGGCGAACCCTAAGGCAACCTCATCATTTTATCTTCCGAAGGGAATGCCTAGGTTACAGATGTATAGATGGGTAGTGGTAAGTAACTAAATATAAAATAGAACTAATGTTTTCTTCCAGACTTCAGATCATGGCGTTTTCCAGATATGCGGTACGCGTGCGTATGACGCGCACTTGCATATTTTCTTAACAGCGGGTTCTGCTAGAGCAGGAAGCTCTATATCAAATCGGGAGGACTGATCCCAGTGAATGACTGTCAAGTTAAGATCAGGCGTCATCCGCTAGGTGAAGTACTGATGTTATCAGTTCGCCACCTTACCTGGTATGCTACAGTTCGCGCTTAGTTATGTGGCGTACCCGCGGCCATTCTGAATTATTAAATGAAATGCAGCTTGTGAGGTTTAAATTAGGTTGGTTAGCAGTGAACCCAGTAAATGATAGGAAACTGTCCGCAAGATACATCTAGTTACTAGGAACTGAAACTTGGTGTTGGTCAATGTTAAATGTCTCTTTTCTAACTTTACCACTTCCTCTTACCAATAGAGGTACCCATTCATACGGGTAATGTCACCTAGGTTCTATTTTCTTTCCAAACAATCATGTAATTTTCTCAACAGTCTGCTTAGCAGAATAGTTAATTAACTGACTCCATGCCAAGTCGGGTATAGCGCTGCAGCAACATGATATTAATTGTCTGTAAACACAAGCCTAGTGATGCAGTGTGCATATGCTGCGCGCAGTAAATAATTCAAATGTTGATGCAAGTAGTGGCCTAGATTGGAACTATCTGTTCCTTGAAAATTGCGCAGATCGGCTGGAGGATAAGGAACAAAAACAACAACAGAATGTGCAACTACGTGGCAATAGTTTAAGCCAGGAAAGTTTGACACGGATAGGCTGCGGGGCCTTCAAATTCGGCCGTACTCCACGTTCCTCTTTCAAGGAATTACCAGCACTTGCGCCTTCAACGGTACCATGTATAAACCCATTATTTTACTCACCTACTGCTCTATACATGAGTAGTGTCATTATTAGTTACACTAGTGAAATTTAAATCGTCATACATTTCCGCGCAAGTGATAGACACAATGAAATTTATCCGAAGCAAAGTGAGAAACATCTACAAAAACGTAATAAATGTACAAAGAAGCATTGTGCTGGATGGAGGGTTGATGTAAGGAAAAAAATTGTGGGGTAGGAGCATACCTGTTTTTCTCAGAAGCAAGCTCCGCTTATTTCCTGGAAACATGGAAGACCTATAAAGCAACATCTGCTGTTTCGAATTCGTGCATTTAGAAGTATGTTACAGGAAACATAAATTCACAAAGACATTGAAGACGCTATTGTGCCAGGTGGCGGTTTTATTTACCGCTATGCTGATGGCCCATGCACTTTCCGCAACCGGGGTGATGGTGTTGACACCTTTATTAACGCTTCCTGGTGCTCATCGGTGAAGAAAATGTTCTGCTCTTCTTTGCAATGTATCGACTGCCTAGTTCTAAAGTGCACGTCAAAATAGCTGAGTGGATACAGTTCAATCTTGCTAGCCAACATGTATAGATCTCCCAGTTGTCCAAGCTCAGAAGCGGACAAATTTTACCATGACTTCATGGCTGTCATCATTGTACAAACTGACCATTCCCTATGCATATTTGCTGGTGATTTCAATGGGTTTGACACTATATTTCTCACAGCAGTTGGACTACAGAACATCGTGAATTGCCTCGCCGGGTTAGAAGCAACCCTGAACTTAGGGTTTGTTAACCACCTGAAGATATTTTCAGTTACTACTCGGGCACCACTTGGAAGCTCGGATCATTCGATAGTCAAACTATCTGTCGTCTACAGCAAGACGAACCACAAGGATATCACTCGCAGTAAGAATTGTAAGACTAAAAGGAGACAAACTAATCTCCCAAACATAGCACAAGTGAACTAAATGGTTGCCTTTACAGACTTTAGTTTGTTTTCGATGCAGATGTCTCAACACATGGTGACAGGATGGCAAGTTATCTGAACTTCTGTTTTGGTCTCTGCTATCCGCTAAATGGCTAGCCGAATAATTTCCACGTATTTCCAGCTGGGTGGTTCGGCTTAATCCCGTTGCAGTGAATGGTTCGGTCACAGTGTTCCAGCAAGTGGTGGGTTTTTGCCTAGCAAGCGTTCTCCCTATAAAAAGCCACAAATATCCGTTTAACAACACTGGGACATGGCAGATGCGACCCGCCACTAAATGAAGTCACTGCCCCTTTCTCTTTCGTAGGATCTTCCCCACTTATTGAACGTCATCCCGTTTAAAGATTTCTTTTGATATCTTCATACGACTGAGAACATAGAAACCAAACTCACGAATTCAGTCACACTTCATCATTTCACTCACCAGGTCTACTTACACATACTTACACATCCACCTACAGATATACATACACACTCATCCAGTATGTTACTGGTTAACTTGCTATATTTTTGTACACTTACCGACCATACTTGTTTGTATAATCATGATCATGCCTTTGCAGGCATGTCTGCACTGTCGGGAATAACACATTCGCTCATTCATTCATTCTTGCTGACCGGTTCTCCTCATCACACCTCAAGCAGCTGCGTCGACTTAAGCAGAGAGCCTTCAAAGTTAAAGATCGTACTTCCGTAAAGTTTCTTTCTCTACACATCAGGGAAGAAATCCACTACCTCAATTATGCCTACGTCCAGACAATTCTAGGGAACAATACTCGCTGTGAGATTTGGTAGATGATGAAACAATTTAGTGTAGTCGCTCGTCGTAGTACCAACTCTGAAATAGACGCAGAAAAATTAAATCACAACTTCTGGTGCTCCAGCCGTGACTCACTCTCAAACTCTCCATCTGCACAGATTCAGTGGCCTATAGACTCAACGCCAGTTGTTGCTGTTGGAGCACTTTACAGGAAGCTTACCCAACTAAACTCAAGCAAATCATGCGGGCCCGACCGATTGTCTCCCTTCGTTCTTAAGGAGTGTACAGATTCACTAGCCCAACCGTTAGCTGAGTTGTACGCCCTGTGCCTAAACCAAGACAAGATGGCAGACTGTTTGAGAGTTGTTAGCATAACACCAAACCGAAGAAACCGACAGGTAAATATCGACTTGTTGCATACACTTCGATGGCTTTGAAAGTTTTCGAGAAAATCATTCTTGAAAAATGTAACACAATCATGTCTGAATGATGAACATCAAGTTGCATACCGAAGTTCGAGGTCGACCCGCGACGCACTGCCTCGTCTAGTGCACTCAGTGCTATCGTCGGTAGGCAGCAAGAACAAAGCCACACGTGTATGCTTCCTTGCCTACATAAACACCTTCGGTTATGTCAACCGTGAAATCTTTTTTCAGGATATCCTGGCTTCTGGTATTCAGCCATTAATGGAACGATGGAACAATGGATTTATGCGGGTATAAAAGCTAAAGCTTGACAAATCCCGTAGGGTGATCAGTGCTAAAATCATAGAAGTGTGAAAAATTCAATGGAAACCAATTCAGTAAAATCGTTTAACAGCGAGTCACTACAAGCTTGTGGACTCATCGAGTTTGAAGTGTCAAAATAATAGTCCACTATAACTCCGGAGGGGATCATGAGGTATGGAGTATTTGGTTAAAAGAGTCACCGCCCCTTGAAATTCGCATGGGGCAAAGTGTTTGAGTTTGAAGCGTCAAAATATAAATCCACTGTTGAAATAAGCGTGAGGGAAAATTATTTTTAAGTATGGATTTTGGACCTCTCAAAATTAGACTGTACTATGGGAGATAGTGCAATGAAGTGAGTGCACTATCAACTCGATTTTTGAACTTGATCAGGTTGGGTGCACTGACTACAGATTCTGGGAGAGCATTCCAGGCTTGGCAAACACGCACGGAAAAGAAATTCCGTCAACATTCCAAACGGCTGTACTGCACTGCCAGCTTCAGATGATGGCCTCTCAGGGTGTTGTTGTTACTGAGCTCCAGCAGATGGCGGCAGGTATGATTGGGGTCTGTCAGAATCTGATAAGCCAAAATCAAATCTCCCCGTAGTCTTCGATATTGACCATTAAATATCCCGAGCGATCTCAGTCTGTCTTCGTAGCGTAACTGACCTAAACCTTTCACGTTCTTCGTTGCGCGTCGTTGAGGTTTCTCTAAATCAGAGAGGTCTTTCCTCAGCCACGGCTGCCAGACTTGTATTGCATACTCCACGTGTGGTCGTATGTATGCACCTAGAAGTTGGTGAAAAACGGATGGATCGAAGCGTCCAAATGTGCGCCTGAGAAGGCCCAAATTTCGAATGCTCGCGTTCGAGGCTTTCTTTGCCTGGGCTGAACAACCAAGGTCGGACTGAATCAAGACTCCCAAATCCTTTTCCTCAGCAGTTGTGTGAAGCACATGGTCACCCAATTTATAGAAAAATGCTGATTGGTGACGTAAGTGTAATACTCTGCATTTTTCTATGTTGAATGGGAGTTGGTTCTGAACTGACCACGCATACACCTTATCCAGATCCTCTTGAAGTATTGCGGAGTCGTCTGGTGTATTGATCGCTCTCCAGACCTTGATGTCGTCGGCATAGAGTAGGCAGTTGGAAAGAATGAGGGCCGCTATGTCGTCAATATACATCAAAAACAATCGTGGCCCCAGTACCGATCCTTGTGGTACACCACATTCGACTTGGATTAGGTGGGACAGGGACCCACGCACTTTTACCTCTAAGCTCCGGTGGAGAAGAAAGCTTGTGATCCATCCTAGGAGCGGATCACCAATGCCGAAGCTCTGAAGTTTGCAGATCAGGATTCCATGGTCTAGTCGATCGAAGGCCTTTGAGAAATCTAGGTAGACCACGTCCACTCCTGCACCGCTGTCAATTAATTTGGTCCAACTCGATCTTGCTAGCAGCAGATTTGTGGTGCACGATCGATTCCGTCGAAAACCATGCTGTTCATGTGCAAGGAAGGCAGACTCTTCTAGATAGGCTGTTAATACGTCAGCAACAATGGCTTCCATAATCTTCGACAGGACCGGGAGAAGGGTTACAGGACGGTAGTTGGCTGAATCAGAACGGCTACCGCCCTTGTGAATTGGGGTTATGATCCCACATTTCCACATCTCGGGTACATACATCTGATCGAAGCAGAGTTGGAAGAATCGTGCCAGAGGCTCTGCTAATGTTTCTCCCATTACCGCAAGGGACTTAGGGTGAATGTTGTCGATTCCAGGAGAGCTGTGCTTACGCATACACAACAACTTCTTTAATACCATGCCCGCCGTG